GAATTGTAGGAAATGCCAAGGGCACTAAAACCTTTTGCCTGCGAGGTGAGGGGGAGGGTCAACCAAATCTCACATAGGGCCCCTAAAATGCTAGAGGCGGCACTGATTATAATGACAGGAAGATTTAAAAAACAACGGACTGTGTAAAGGTAATATGCCTGCATTCCTTTGCTGTCTTCCTCCAGTGGCCATAGATGAATGTCTCTGCTGCACAATTAATACCCAAACTGACCACCAAATACCAGCGTCTTTATTAAAATCAATAGCCACAGTGCTGGGTCAGACCTCTACTACAAAGATCAAAAGAATGGAATTAACTTTTTTTCTATGGAATCCGTCTGACCAGGTAACCCCCTTTAATTAAACAGACGCCTTGTTGGACTGGGCCTGACAACAGCCAATAGGACTGAATGTACGTGAGGAATTCTGGCCTGTGTCTGACCCCAGAGAGACCACAAAGGCCCTCTGTAACCTGCCCAGGGTAACAGGGTGGGACTATGCCCCAGACCATCCCAGCCAGATTAACGATTAGCCGCAAGAATGGCACTCCCAATCTGATGTGAAGCAAAAGGGAGGATGGGGCTTGAAAAGAGGATGGATGGCTGCCTTACACTCATCTGGCAGGGCTGACTCTGAGGGCCAGGCCTCTCAAAGTGGGGGCTGGCCGGGGTCCTCTACATCTGAGGAGCGCAATGAAAGGCAAACAATAAGCAATCTGTTTGTCCACCCCTGGAAAACGGCGCTCCCCTTTCATCCGCGGGCTCCCATTTCCGTGGGTCGTGACTTTACTCAAACATCAATTACTGTTACGTTCCCTGTTTGATCTCACAGGCTCGTCTTCCATGTAAAATCAGGAGGGGGAAAAATGTGTAAAGACAATGCACTGATTGTGTGTTTTTTCTCTGTTATGGTATTTTATGTTCTTGATGTGGTCTGCTAGGCAGTGGTTGTTGATTGCCTCTCTCACCTCAATCAGAGCTGCTATAGACTACTGTAGTGCATAATGAGAAGCTTTGAAATACTTTTACCGTCTCAGAGAACTTGGCCTTGACTGGGCATCAACAGGCTATCCACCATATGACTTGTTCATATATTGAAAGTTAGTTGACTGAGAGCATAAGTAGTGATGAGAGATCACAGCGACACAGACAATAGTTTTTAGTTAATTTACGATGAGGGCCAATGAGAAGAGATCTGTGTTCTTTTCAATACAGCTGCTTCAAATTTAAGCAGAGTTTTGTAGCTTAGGTACCTTACTTTGGCTTGCAAGCTCATCCTGTTCATGTACTGAAGTTTACATACGAAGAATTAGAGGAATCAAGACTCTAATAAGAAGGGACTTTGCATGACGAGAGTGTCAAACTCTTAGCATAAATTAGAATTTGTAGTTCCATATAAGTCAACTTAACGTATGCCAACCAGTAATCCTCAGTGACCCTAGTAGGCTAGAAGCATTAGAAGATCACATGATCAGATATGGGAAAGTGTCCTAGCTCTCCCAAACCTTCTGGCTCTGCCCTCTCTGTTTAGACAAGGCTTTACAGTAGTTCACGACAAGAGGAATTTCAAGCATGAAAGTATTTTTACCAAAGTGCATCCTCAAATCCCACCAAAAATAAGGCTTACTATACGGATGGCTCTGCCAAGCTTTTACGGCATTAGCAGGGTAGACGTCGTGCTCCCTCCATGTTGTTGTCAGCTGTTTTTCTCCTGTTTCCCCCCTCGGCCACACGTCGACAGCTAATTCAGTGCTCAAGAAGAGGTTTGAGTTTCCCTCCAAGCTGCTGCAGCTGTGCCTCTGACTGTCTGGGATTAGGCAACAAAATGAACTCATAATAAAATGAATCAATCATCATGACATTTTGTTTAAATGTAGCTATTGAAAACATTTCGCCTGTTTCCTCAGGCACGCTTGGAAGAGAGGGGCTGGGATGCATAAAAATAGAAGTCTTGTTTTTTTAATATAAATGTAAGGACAGAGATTCATTTGTCTTAACCCTCCCCCTCCCTCTCCTCTCCCACTCTATCTGTGCCTGTCTATATTTTTTCAAGTTAGAATAATTTGCTGGTTTATTTGCCTTGCCGTGTGTAGTGGAATTGAGAAACATTGGCCGACGAGAGCGGCACAGTTAATTTTCCGCCTTTGGTGTTTGACAGCAGTGGAGTAATGGGGTTCCGATCAGACTCGCTTCCCTTCGCGGGGAAAGTAACTTAAGTGTTCATGTTCATACCAACAAAATTAAATGATAAATGAATGAACTTTTTTTCTATTTTTTTTTATTTTATTAATTTTTACACGTCTCCCATTGCGTTCGAGGCGATTCCGTTAAGGAATTAGATCAAGGTGACATATACTGTCTGAACGAACCTGGGGAGAAAAGGAAAAAGATGTATCTTTTTTTGTCCTGATTTAGATCACGGCAAAGCAAGGAGGCATTGCGTCGTCATTTAATGAATTACTTAATGTGTCCCTTCATCGTCTAATTGAATTAATTAGGGGCCTAATTGGGCAGAGTGATGATAGCTTCCGGGGCTGTGGAGCCCTTGATGAGCTGAAGGTAGCTGGGCTTCTTCGAGAGACTCAGGGAGAGAGCGCTCTCCTGGGACGGACGGGGAGGGACCCTCCCTACCGCCACCAGCGGCCCCAGCTCCCCTCAGCTCTCCCTGGATTGGAGGGGTCAGGGGAGGCCTGTGGCCAGCGAAAGCCTCACTCTGGCTCCTCTATAGACATGTCTCTGGAGACCAAGTACACATGCTTGGACTGAGAGGAACTGCAGTGAAATAGTTAAAAAAGCATGACACAGCATCCAAGTTGTGTTCTACTCTAAAGAGCTGTAAATGCCTGTATTTCAGTGATACTGTATGAACATCTGACAATTTATTACCTTGTAGGGCATTTTGTTCTATCCATCTCTAGCCGGCCTCCACCCAGTACCCTGCCCTGAACTTAGTCACTGTCACTAGCTGGCTACCACCTGGTTACTCAACCCTGCACCTTAGAGGCTCCTGCCCTATGTACATAGACATGGAATCACTGGTCACTTTAATAATGTTTACATACTGTTTTACCCATTTCATATGTATACAGTGGGGAAAAAAAGTATTTAGTCAGCCACCAATTGTGCAAGTTCTCCCACTTAAAAAGATGAGAGAGGCCTGTAATTTTCATCATAGGTACACGTCAACTATGACAGACAAAATGAGGAAAAAAAATCCTGAAAATCACATTGTAGGATTTTTAATGAATTTATTTGCAAATTATGGTGGAAAATAAGTATTTGGTCAATAACAAAAGTTTCTCAATACTTTGTTATATATCATTTGTTGGCAATGACACAGGTCAAACGTTTTCTGTAAGTCTTCACAAGGTTTTCACACACTGTTGCTGGTATTTTGGCCCATTCCTCCATGCAGATCTCCTCTAGAGCAGTGATGTTTTGGGGCTGTCGCTGGGCAACACGGACTTTCAACTCCCTCCAAAGATTTTCTATGGGGTTGAGATCTGGAGACTGGCTAGGCCACTCCAGGACCTTGAAATGCTTCTTACGAAGCCACTCCTTCGTTGCCCGGGCGGTGTGTTTGGGATCATTGTCATGCTGAAAGACCCAGCCACGTTTCATCTTCAATGCCCTTGCTGATGGAAGGAGGTTTTCACTCAAAATCTCACGATACATGGCCCCATTCATTCTTTCCTTTACACGGATCAGTCGTCCTGGTCCCTTTGCAGAAAAACAGCCCCAAAGCATGATGTTTCCACCCCCATGCTTCACAGTAGGTATGGTGTTCTTTGGATGCAACTCAGCATTATTTGTCCTCCAAACACGACGAGTTGAGTTTTTACCAAAAAGTTATATTTTGGTTTCATCTGACCATATGACATTCTCCCAATCCTCTTCTGGATCATCCAAATGCACTCTAGCAAACTTCAGACGGGCCTGGACATGTACTGGCTTAAGCAGGGGGACACGTCTGGCACTGCAGGATTTGAGTCCCTGGCGGCGTAGTGTGTTACTGATGGTAGGCTTTGTTACTTTGGTCCCAGCTCTCTGCAGGTCATTCACTAGGTCCCCCCGTGTGGTTCTGGGATTTTTGCTCACCGTTCTTGTGATCATTTTGACCCCACGGGGTGAGATCTTGCGTGGAGCCCCAGATCGAGGGAGATTATCAGTGGTCTTGTATGTCTTCCATTTCCTAATAAATGCTCCCACAGTTGATTTCTTCAAACCAATCTGCTTACCTATTGCAGATTCAGTCTTCCCAGCCTGGTGCAGGTCTACAATTTTGTTTCTGGTGTCCTTTGACAGCTCTTTGGTCTTGGCCATAGTGGAGTTTGGAGTGTGACTGTTTGAGGTTGTGGACAGGTGTCTTTTATACTGATAACAAGTTCAAACAGGTGCCATTAATACAGGTAATGAGTGGAGGACAGAGGAGCTTCTTAAAGAAGAAGTTACAGGTCTGTGAGAGCCAGAAATCTTGCTTGTTTGTAGGTGACCAAATACTTATTTTCCACCATAATTTGCAAATAAATTCATAAAAAATCCTACAATGTGATTTTCTGGATTTTTTTTTCTCAATTTGTCTGTCATAGTTGACGTGTACCTATGATTAAAATTACAGGCCTCTCTCATCTTATTAAGTGGGAGAACTTGCACAGTTGGTGGCTGACTAAATACTTTTTTCCCCCACTGTATATTGTATTCTACTGTATTCTAGTCAATACCACTCCGACATTGCACGTCCTAATATTTACATATTTCTTAATTCCATTATTTTACTTTGAGATTTGTGTGTATTGTTGTGAATTGTTAGATACTACTGCACTGTTGGAGCTAGGAACACAAGCATTTCACTACACCCGCAATAACATCTGCTAAATATGCGTATGTGACCAATAACATTTGATTTGATTTTGATTTGAGGTGTGTGTATTCATTGCTGTGTATGCGTGTGATTTGTGTACAGTATTTATGTGTTGTCCTGCAGGGCTGACGGCTGCAGCGATGGCCGAGGCTATGAAGCTGCAGAAGATGAAACTGATGGCCATGAACAACCTGCACGGAGCCGGCAGCCAGAACGGCACCGAGTCAGAGAACGACGAGCTCAACTCCAACGCAGGTCAGAGACACAGCAACATACATACTGTACTTTTTTCACAGCTAACTATTTAGGCACAATGAACAGGACAGTATAACAGTAAACCCTTATAATAAACCTTATAATAAAGGCAATTCACATATCTATTATGACTGTCAACTCAAATGAAAATATTGCCCCCAAATAATGACAGATGTATCTGTTCAAGTCCACAGCCAGTATTTAACATCCTGTCTAGCCGTCTCTAGGAGGTAGGTTAGGTAGAGACTGCAGAAAGGTTTGTCTCCTTGTCTCCTTCCACTGGCCATGTCTCTTTCTCCATGACTGCTTCACACGTGACTACAGGTAATTGGTTCTGGCCCTCGCGTTGCTTTCGCTTTAGCCGTATTTCATTGAGGCTAATGGCGTCCTTAATGGCTGCGACCTGACCGTGCATTTAGATGGTGGTGATGGCAGTGTGTGTGACTAACAACGTGCGTGGCGGCGGGCTGGGTAATATAGAGGTGCCACGCAGACAGGCTTCTTTATCACCACCCAGAGCCACGGCAGACGCCCCCAATAGAGACATGAGCCTGAATATGTAGAGGGACAAATAAATACAGACACACACACACACACACACACACACACACACACACACACACACACAGAGAGAGACAGAACAAACTGATGTACACACTTATTTATATTTCACACTGTTTACATATAAACACACAAGGCCTGCAAGGGAAGAAAACCCAGCTAACACATAACGTTCTGAGAACCCTATGTTTCTTAGAGCTTGGTGAGAGCGTGGTTGTCCTATGGTTATTTTGCATACAACCTTCCCACAACATTCTGGGAATGGTGCAGGATAGTTGCTTGGCTTTGGAACATTCTCAGCACATTTAAGGAACTTGACAAAATAACTATATTTTCTTGGTATTTCATTACTTAACAGAATGTTTCCTAAATGTTTAAACATGGTTATATTTAATAAAATGTTTGGTAATGTTCTAGGAACGTCTCCAACAGGTTTGACATTGGGACTGTTCTCAAATAGTTCAGAGAACGTTAAGAAACAATGTTCTCCTGTGGGAATTGTAATACTTCAGCATAACGTTTCCACCAGGTTTCCTCATGGCTCTATTTAAAGTAATGTTCTCAAATTGTTCAGAGAACGTTAAGAAACAGCATTCTTCTGTGGGAATTTCAGTACTTCAGCATAACGTTAAAAATAACATAATAACTAGCTCCATCCTGGTGGCGCAGTGGACTAATTCCATGGATAGAAAACAGAAGATCATAGGTTTGAATCTCACTGACGCTGTGCCACAATAAAAAATAAATGTGTTTGCACGATTAATGCTTAAGTAAATACATTTCCATGTGTCCTGTCTGTGTAGTTCAAAACAGTTAACCGAAGCTGTGTTATTAAAAGTCTTATTGAAACATTCAGTGAAAGTTTTGAGGAAGTTATTAAAAAACCTCCAAATAACCTATAATTTACATTCTCAGAACGTTAATAAATCCTCACAGGGAACCATAGTAAAATGTTCTCAGAACCTCCCTGCAACCTAAAAATGTATGTTCCTAGAACAGACAACATTTTCACTTCCGTTCTCAGAACTTTTAAAAAACATTCCGTTTTAGCAGTCAGGAAACATATGGCTTCGTTCCCAGAACCAATGGAAAGCCAACAATGTATATTTCCAACACTTCCAAGGAACCAAAAGTGCTAGCTGGGAACAGAGAACTTACAAAAGTATTTACTGGACTCAATTATTTTGGGCTGATGCTGTTTGCATGGTAAAGAGTGGCTGAACTTGGCGACACTAGACAGGCAGAAAGTGTCTATGAATCCCGCTGTCTTGCTGACACATCCAAGCCCAATTGATGTTCCTGATCAAATGAAGCCATGTAGCAATATCGGTGTAACGTGGCACCTAAACCTAAATAATTAGCGATAGCTAAATCTCCTCCAGTACATTGGAATGAGACAGCCATGGGATTGGGTGTTGATGACAGAGCTGGATGGAGAGAAGAGGGTGTGTCAGTAGAGAGGGTTTGGCTTGGTGTCTGTGTGTCCCACTCTGTCACAGACCCTCTAATGTACTCCTCCCTGACACCAGCGCTATGGAGAGCTGGCCCCTCTCTGTCACACCACCAATGATAATGATGATGATAATGATGCTGATGGTAATCATTACAGAGAGGCAGCAGGCTTTCCTGGGGTTCTGTCCAGCTGATCGGTGAAACACTGCAGTGCAAGTGGGCCTCGGCTCACACTGTCACACAAGTCACCCACAATTCAGCAGGCTACTCCTGTCACGATCGTCTAGTAGCGAAGTAGACCAAGGCGCAGCGTGTGAAAGAAACATGACTTTATTATATTAAAGTACTAACAAACCAAACAAAACACGACTCGTGAAGTCCAACGGTTAACACTGACCGTAAAGGAACAAAAACCCACAACACCCAAAGGAAAACATACAGATTAAATATGGCTCCCAATCAGAGACAACCAGCCGACAGCTGACACTCGTTGCCTCTGATTGGGAGTCATACAGGCAAACATAGAAACAGAACAACTAGAATACCCAACATAGAAAACGAACACATAGAATGCACACACCCTGGCTCAACATATAGAGTCCCCGAGCCAGGGTGTGACAGTACCCCCCCCTAAAGGCGCGGACTGCGACCGCGTCTAAACACCCCAAACAGGGGAGGGCTGGGTGGGCATTCCTCCTCGGAGGCGGCTCCGGCTCCGGCTTTGACCACCACCCCTCCATACTACCCCCCGTAGCGCCCCTGGTCCGGTCTGACCCCGCTGGCTGGATCTGGACTGGACATTGACGGAGCGGATTGCTTACGCTCCGTTGTGGAGCAGCTGACCGGTCTTACCAGGCTGACGACTCGCACCCCGGGCTTGGTGCGAGTAGCAGGAACGGGCTGAACCAGGCTGACGACTCGCACCCCTGGCTTGGTGCGAGTGGCAGGAACAGGCTGGACCAGGCTGGCGACTCGCACCCCTGGCTTGGTGCGAGTGGCAGGAACAGACCGGGCCGGGCTGGCGACTCGCACCCCTGGCTTGGTGCGAGTGACAGGAACAGGCCGGGCCGGGCTGGCGACGCGCACCGTAGGTTTGGTGCGAGTGGCACGAACAGGCCGGGCCGGGCTGACGACGCACACCGTAGGCTTGGTGCGTGGAGCAGGGACAGGCCGGGCTGGGCTGGCGACGCACACCGTAGGTTTGGTGCGTGGAGCAGGGACAGGCCGGGCTGGGCTGGCGACGCACACCGTAGGTTTGGTGCGTGGAGCAGGAACAGGCCGGGCAGGGCTGGCGACGCACACCGTAGGTTGGGTGCGTGGAGCAGGAACAGGCCGGGCTGGGCTGGCGACGCACACCGTAGGTTTGGTGCGTGGAGCAGGAACAGGCCGGACTGGGCTATGGAGACGGATAGGAGACCTGGAGTGAAGAGCTGCCACAACCCGTCCTGGCTGAATGCCTACCTTCACACACTCTGTGTGAGGCATCAGCACAGGACGTACAGGGCTGTGTACCCGTACTGGCATAACAGCACGTGACACTGGCGCAGGATATCCGGGACCGAGGAGAGGCACTGGAGGCCGCGAGCGCTGAGCCGGCACACTCCGTCCTGGCTGCATGCCCACCTTCGCACAACACGTGCGGGGTGCTCGCACAGGACGTACCGGACTATGCCGGACCACTCGCGGCACAGTGCGCATCTCCGCATACCGCGGAACCTGCCCAGTCTCATGCTGCCATGCCTGAGTACGGGGAGTTGGCTCTGCTCTCCATCCAGGCTCCGCCAACCTGCCTTCTGGCCCCCAAAAGCCGGTGGCCTCCTCTCTTAATCTCCCGATTCGCCCTGCGGCAGCCTCCTGCTGCCCAGTCGCCCATGCCGTGTGCCCCCCCCTAAAAAATTCTTGGGGGTGCCTCTCGCCTTTCCGACCACGGCCCGGTTGACGCCGCTTCTCCACTCCTGCCTGGGTCTCCCCCTTCATCGCCTTCCGGTACCGAACGGCCTCCTCCTCGGTAATCTGCCCCCAACCGAGGAGGACATCCACCAGCGTCACCTCCTGCGTGTGTTCCTGGACACGCTGCTTGGTCTTTGTATGGTGGGTTTTTCTGTCACGATCGTCTAGTAGTGAAGTAGACCAAGGCGCAGCTTGTGAAAGAAACATGACTTTATTATATTAAAGTACTAACAAACCAAACAAAACACGACTCGTGAAGTCCAACGGTTAACACTGACCGTAAAGGAACAAAAACCCACAACACCCAAAGGAAAACATACAGATTAAATATGGCTCCCAATCAGAGACAACCAGCCGACAGCTGACACTCGTTGCCTCTGATTGGGAGTCATACAGGCAAACATAGAAACAGAACAACTAGAATACCCAACATAGAAAACGAACACATAGAATGCACACACCCTGGCTCAACATATAGAGTCCCCGAGCCAGGGTGTGACAACTCCATTCCCCAAAATGAAGAAGCCAGTGAGTTAGCCCTCCTGCAGAAGTCATTTGAAGGGACTAGCTTCACAGAGACCTGGGGGCCAATAACCCAAAGACAGAAAACAGTTAAACCAGGGTCCATGGGTGGAAATGACAACTAACACACATTCCCCTTATTCAGCTGAGTCAAGTCCATGCCTTCACACTACCTCTAAAACTGATCCCTGGCTGAGTGGTTTAGCAGAAGGGCTGTGTGTGCCAGAGGATACTTTTCGATGTGTGCCCACGCAAATTGGGGCCTGTTTGTGAACAGATTTAAAGCATGCCCGATACCCCTCCCCCCAGGTTTGCCTTCTCGTATGACTTTGACTCAACCACACCACCAAGAGCCATAGCTGTAGGAGCAGCCACCTGAGAGAGACGGGGGAAGAGAAGGAGGGGGAGCATGCTTCATCTCAGTAAAATCCACTTTGACCCTAAAAAGAGTTGGAAGAAAGGCCTTGTGGTTTCTGCTTGGTTTTGCAGCACACTTTGTTGAGAGGTGGGTGGTGGTGGGGTAGGGATGTTGGAATCTGATCTAGCGAATCACGTCTCTTAAGTTAAACAAACAGCTTCAGAAGATATCCTTCCAACTTTAACCCATTGCGTTCTCTCTTTCGCGGCCAAGACACTGATCCCTAGACGACAGCTGCAAAGCCTGATGTCTCTGTTTTTCTCTCTACCACTCTCTCTCTCCTTTCCTCTTTTCTTTCCTGTTTCTTTCTTGTTCTTGCGTTCCCGGGGGCTGTGTTTGGTCCCCTCCCTCTCTGATGGCAAGCTGCTTTTTGGAGAACATCAAAGGGGCAGCTAATCTGCGTTTTCCCCTCTGTGTGGATGGGGTGTAAAAAACCTTCAGCTATCTGCACACAACAGTTAGGGGAGATAGGCATGATTTCAATCTCTCTCCCTCCCATATCCCCTCAAACAGCGACACCCAGCCCCCAACCCCCCTCTCAAGACAGAAAATAATACACTTCGAAAACATCGCTTTTGGAGGCAGAGAGAGCTGAAGAGCACTTGATCGTTTTCTTTTAGCCCCCTAATCAGTTGACCAATTTGGCTTACCCCAATCTAACTTTGGGGAGTCTCCTAAAGTGCACAGCAGAAGTTGGTTCTCAGCGCGGCGAGACTGTTTGAAAGGCTGTTTATACTCTCTGGGTTTTACAGCTGCAAAACTGCAAAGAAGCACAGGGGCTCCTGTGAAATGGTGTCTATAAATATAAATATGCCTCTGAAATCCTGTTAACAAGAGAAAAGGAAGCGAATACTAAAGGCAGAACATGTGTTTCTGGTCGAGGCAACTGGAGAAGAATAGAGGAGCAAAAAAAGGTTTCATTGGTCTAATGGCGTACTGTCAGGGAAAATCACCATCACAAATGACATCAGAGAAGAACGGCTATATTTTTCCTTTGCGACTGACAAGTTAAAAGAGAAATCCCATGCATTATTTAAACAGGCTCTGGAATCTGTCAGGCACGTGATTTGCAGAGTTAGCAAAAAACAGGTGTGGGTGTAGAGAGTGAGTGAGAGAGAGAGCGAGAGATAGACAGAAAGAGAGAGAGAGAGAGAGAGAGGAAGCTCATAGAGAAAGCGTGGGCACCGAGCGATCTGTGTGCGCGCAGTCGTTTCAAATCCCTAACCACCAAACCGGTCAGCACTTTTTCCCTCTTTACTCTCTATCTCTCACCTCTCATTTCTTTTTTTCCTCCTCTTTTGTAGCCCCTTGTCTTTGCTGGGCAAGTGTCACTCTTGTTTAGTCTGATTGGCCTGTTTGATAACAGCCCCTTCCTCTCTCACTGCCATTTTCAAAAACACAAGAGAAGAGAAGGCTGGAAGAGAAGGGGTAGATAGATCCAACACTTTGTTTCCTTACCCATCCTCCCTCCCTCCCTCCCTCCCTCCCTCCCTCCCTCCCTCCCTCCCTCCCTCCCTCCCTCCCTCCCTCCCTCCCTCCACGCAGCTGCAACAGGAGACACCCCTCTTCCCTTTATCTGACCGAGAGACAATGTCACTGGATAGCCCTGAGCAGTTTGTTTCGTGTCCAGTATTGACCAGCGTGGCGAGTGTGAGGGTGATCCCGGCTGGTCTTATGGGCTGAGGTCAGAGCTATCACCTTTCACTGAGGTTCCTCTGCACTCTGCTCCTCTTGTTGTTTCATGTGGACGTGTACTTCTCTCTTGAACTTGGGCAGCAGGGTCATTGTTTGTAACAATCTGCTTGTACCACCTCTTGTTCTTTTGAAGTTTCATTTGCAGAAAGACATTTGTCACAACTCTGTCTGTAATGAGATCATTCCTGACATTGTCAATCACATCATAAGTGTTTTTTGTGGTGTCGTTTGAGTATACAGTTACTGAGCTCAGTGATGTGGTTATTCTCTTCAGACCATCAGTCTATGGCTCAGACCCTCTCTCACAGACTCTGAGCTCACTATACTGCCCCTTGTGGGAACCAAATGAACAGCACTGATGTTAAACCACAGACAATACTGAAATGAGAGTTGCAAAGTATTCAGCAAGACCATTCAATGAACAACATAGATACAGAAATCTGCTTTGTGTTCTCTTAAGAGTCCACTCTCTCATTATAATATGAATTTTCATAATGCGTTATACCATAACAGTCTGCCAGATAGACGCACAGTAACCCTGTTCATGTTGGGCCTGTGTTTGACATGACTAGTGCCTCTCTATCTAAGAAATAGAAGAGCAGGTTATACGTATGGATCAGAGAAGTGCTGTCACCTCAAATGGCTGAAGCACCCCTGATCTGTTCTGTCTTTCCTGCTGACGGCTCAGAAAATGTTCCAGCCCTTCGTCCTCCAGCTGAAATATTCTCCCAGTTCCAGCCATCAGGAATTAATGTTCCATAAATCATGTCCCTCAGAGAGACAGGGGCTGCATACTGACCACTCACACTGAGGCTTCTGCACAGCACACTCTGGGAGACATATACACACACACACACACACACACACACACACACACACACACACACACTCATTGTACACTACACACCAGTAGTTATATACAGGAGGTTACACATGTACAAACACACATCACTGGACCAGAGGACATATATAGAAATGCACTATGATGTGTGCACAGAAATGCTCACACACCACATGGGTATAAACACAGCCAATCCCATTAAGAGAACTACCTCTCATGCATGACATACATGCTCTCCCCCATGTCACTACCATGTCTCTGGGTATTGGAGAGGAGCACCATTGATTAGCCCACGCTAGGCTACAGTGTCAGATAACCGGCTGGTCAAATACAACTCTTACTCTGACCGGCTCTGCTCTGTGTCTGGCTTCTCAGTGTCGCCTGTTCCTCCCTCTGCCAAGGAAAGCCTGCCCTAACTCACGGCAGAGCCACCTCTAAGGCCACAACACTGTGATAGACACCAGCCCACTCAGCAGTCCTCAGCCACATGAGACACACAGGGACAGGCTGGAGACACCAGCCCCGCAGCCCCCCTCACAGGGTGCACTGCCTCATGGTTGTTCACACAGGAAATGGACATGAAGGGCAGACCTGTCACAAACGACAGCAGCCCTCTGTGGAAGAAGAAGAAGAAGAAGAAGAATCACATGATCTGAGTATGACATGAACCCTCCTCTCCATCTCTCCCAGTCAGAGTGTCGACCTTGACGAGACCATGTCAGCAGTGTCACAATTTAATCAACTGCCTGATGGAAGCCCTTTTAGAGTGTCTTCAACAGAGTGGCATGTACAGTAGAGTAGAGGAGGACCTTTACTCTGATGCTCTGACCCTCTCCTTAGTCTGACCTCTTTGGCGCCGTATCTGTGAATGGGTCGAGAGAGAGAGAGAGAGGTTAGTCAGGTGAAGAGGAGAGAGGGAGTGTGTTTAGAAGAGAGAAATAGTGCAAGGCGTCCATCTTTAGACTAAAACCCTTGGTCCAGATAATGGGAATCCATCCAGCGTAATGACCTACAGATCCTGTTGGTAATGAGATGGGGGAATTGCCTGCTCTTGGTACCAGATGATACTGTATTAACGGCGCGGGCGAGCGCAACGGACGGGGGGCCGTCAGGAGCCCCTCTGCCTCCGATCATTTTTCATCCGGCTGACATCCGAGCAGGCCGGAGCGTCGGAGAGGGGATTGATTTCAAATGAGCCTCAAAATGATGCCTAATGAAAACCTGTAAAGACACTTTCAGCTCTAAATACCAAATTAGCTGCAGCCAACAGAGGATAAACACTTCATGGATCCCAAACTCAGACACTTTCTATCATGGGCCTGTTTGACAGTGGAGAGAAACTATTTATGAAGGGGTTGAGTGTATATGTTTTCCTGTAAGAGTGTATGAGAGAGTGTGTTTCTATGCTTGTGTGTGTGTGTGTGTGTGTGTGTGTGTGAAAGTGCACATGTGTTTGTGGCAGATTGTTTGCATGTTTGATGCACTTTCTTTGGCTCAAATGTTTTCTGCGAACGGCGTTGAGGAGAATAGCTCAGCTCCAGTCTTTGGTGGTGCTCACTGATATGTAAACGCAGGGCGATATCAAAGAGGCATCTCCTTCCCTTTCTGTGCGGTGAGAACTACTTTAATCAAAGACACGCCGCTATAAACCATTCAAAGGGAGCCAGGCACTCTGATGGCCATTAATGTGTCTCCTTGATAAGGGGAAGCGAAATACACAGCCATCTTACAAAAAACAGATGTTTAGATGCTTAGAACCAAGAACAGGAGGTGAGTCTGACGATTGCTTGTAAATACCCTGGAAATTATACCAGGGTAAAAATGCAATATTATTTCCAAGGAATGCTAAATTACATGCAGTTTTTGGCCAGAGAAATGCTTATGGTTACACTTACATTGAATTACATAGTATTAAGCCTATACAGCCACCCTGTCCATAATGGTTCATGATAGATGACTATCCAATGTCATGACACGTGCAGCAGCAGCGCTACGGTGTCGCAGTGTCTCTCTTTAATGTCACAGATCTGTCTGTCAGAATCCCTTCACATCCTCCACCACCATTAAGAGTTGATTTGTCATAACAGGATGTGTCCACATCATGTTCCTATTGGCCTTCCCCTGTCTGGCCATAGGGCTCTACCTCCAACACCTTGCCTGGGCTCAGAGACTATGGTTCTATAGACCCCTTCTCCTCTGTCTCTCTGTCAGACCCGCTCAACTCCTCCAACTTCCATTCCTCTCCTCACAGCAATTAACACTTCATTAAGAGACCTCTTTAATCATTTTTTCCCTTTCAATTCCAACCCTCTTCTGCCAGGGCCTCTGGTGGGTTGTACTCATTGTTTTGGGAGGGAATTAATGACTGACAATTTAAATGTTTTTTCTTCATTACTTCTTTGTTATTGCGTGTAAATAGGTTTTCCCCACCCAGGATCCCCACAGCCCCCCCACCCCGGTAAACAGGTATTTTCATAAATATGTAAAGACTTATGTCTCTGTGTCCTCTCAGCAATCCCTGCTTCTCCTCTCACAGACATGTTCAAACCTGACTCATGGCTAGTAATAAGATTTACCGCTGGTAGACATGAAATCTGTCCAACTGGCCATGCTGGGCTGTTAGGGATTAGCTGCAGTGTATTGCATTAGGTACAGTGCTGTGACTACTGTACAGTAGATGCACAATTTGCAAGGCTGAATTAGTTCTTCTTCCAGCCTGCCAAACTGGGCAGGTTTTGATTAAGGAAGGTTTTCTAAGACTTCCCAGTGTTTAGCTTTGATATCGCCTGCATTTATAAAGTATAACAGTATGAACACAAACGACAACAGCAGCACTTTCAGACACTTATGGATTCATGGTGGGGGTGTGATGAATGCCAGTTATACTGAGGCCTATGAGGGTCTCCTCTATTGGGAGCTGGGGTTGGGATTGGGTTGGGGCCGGGGGTGTAGACTCAGGGACATCTGGCAGAGTGAGGGGGATGCCAGGGGGGTGCCTGGCACAGCCCTAGAGGGTGCAGGGGACATGGCGGGCACCCCACAGAGAGCCTAAAACACACTGCCATTCTCACAAACACCCAATCATCCCCTAACTGTCACTGTTAAAGGGAGGGGAGGGAAATAAATGTAAATCTTAGCCGGCAGCCTCTTAATTACTACTGTAAACCTGCACTGGTCTGCACTGGTCGGGCAACATGCAAGGTGTTATGGAACCCTAATGCTAATGTCACAACTTGAGTTAGCTTTTCTATTGATTGGTCTCAGATTCGGTTGATCCAAATGGTTTCCTTTTTATTAAAGGAAATGTTGCCATAATAAACTATTTATTTATTTAAAATGAATGTCATGGTGTAGAAATATGATTATTTTGCCTATTAGGCTACTTATTATTTTGAGGAGTGAAACGAAGGACATTGTTTATGGCCGACACTCTTCTCAGTCTCAGATGAGAATGAATCAAACTGGGTGAAAAGTAAAGGCCGTGCCACAGAGCTGCAGTGCTGGGGTAGTGTTGGGGTAGTGCTGGGTGAGGGGCTAGCATATTTGTCATTAGTGTGGATTTGCATGTACCTTGTTGAGCGCGGGGGGCCGGAGGGGGGAGATTGGCCAAAAGCACAGCTGTACTGCCTGCCACACTGATTGCCTTGCCTTCCTCAGCCTCATTTATCTTCATTTCTTCCCAATTACACCAAATTAGCTATAGTCTCAGTTGCATTACCAACTTAATCCCCGTTTTTTTTCAGCGGACGGCATTATACAGTGGCAGATGATTCCTTGGCGGGAGTCAGGGTAAACAGCCATGAAAATGCCACCCCGGCAGATGGCGAGGCCCACAAGAAATATGACAAACAGAGTGCCAGCGTGCCGCCCTCCGCCCGCACCCACCACAAGCTGTTAATGTGCTCCCGGATAGTGTGTGTGTGCGTGTGTGTGTCTGTTTATCAAAGTGTGTCTCTCTGTCTGTGTTTATCCTCTCCTATGCGGTATGTTTGGTTTTAACTGGATGAAAGGTGTCCCAGTGAAACACAGATCATCTTCTCTGTTCCCAGCCTGGTGAACACTAATGGTTTCTTTTGAAGAAAGGAATAGAAAAAATATGTAGTCCTCACGGAATGAGTGGTTTGACCTCTTCATCGGCATGCTAGTAATATGATTAGCGTAAAGAAAGAACTCGATAAATTCAATCACCTCAATTAATATAATCTAGAGCAACTCACAAAGGAAGGGCAATCTTTAATTTAACAACTTAATCCTCTTTCATAATGCTCTCTGTCTGTACATCTGACAATAACACAAAATCTACTACTGTATAGTCAAGCTTTCTCTTAAAAAAGGTACACCAGTTTACTGTCCATCAGTGTGGTTTGTAAGTGACAACAGACTGTCCCTTGCAGAAGAGCAAGGGTAATAGAAGAGAGAGAGAGAGAGAGAGAGAGAGAGAGAGAGAGAGAGAGAGAGAAGAGAGAGAGAGAGAGAGAGCGAGAGAATGAGATGAGAGATAGAGAGAGAGAGAGAGAGAGCTACGTATATATGAGATAGTCATCGCGCTACTCGTCGCTCATCGCGGCGCTCTATCTGAGCTCTCTACTCTGCTCTCTGCTCTCGCTCTCTCTCCTCTCCCTCTCTCCTCGCTCTCTGCTCTCTCTCCTCTCTCTCTCTCTCTCTCGTCTCTCGTCTCTCTCTCTCTCTCGCTGCTCTCTGTGTTTTCTTCTTGGGTCGTCCCCTTTTCGCAGTGCTAATGGAGAGGGTCGTCTCCCATAAACAGACCCTCTCACTGTATACACCACGGCTCCCACACATACACACAGACACACACATCCAGGGGACTGGCCTGTGGTCCCCCAGCCGCGCTCGTAACTCACAGTGACCTCCAAACGTCAACCCAGTAGATCCTCAGAAGGGGGCCACAAGAACCCCAACCCCATTACCAGCCCAAACAATGTGTCATCATAGACCTCCGCCAAGCCCTCTTAGATCACCAGAACAAATAACAACAACTAACAAATAGCATCCTCTCATTACTGCTGCTCAAAGCAGGTTTGAACGTAATTCCTCTCAAGGCATACTGAACTCAAACATAACACACATATAATGAATTACTGCAACCTTTCAGGCCAGATGATGGGTTGGTTGTGGGTAATGTTGGTGCAGTTCTTTCTGTCGGTCTGTCCATGTGTGTGTCTGAGGAACCACACGGCATGTCCAGACTGTGGAGGTAAGGACTGGAGCCCTGTGAGGGTGAGGGGACAGATGGTAGACCTAGCTGAAACCAGGCCAATGGCTCCAGTCAAATGCACTGGACCAAAGGGGGTCTGGAGTGACACTGGCCAAGCCTCCAAATTCCTCCCTCTCTGCACCTTTTCAGCTATTTTGTGTGTTTCTGTATATATGTGTGTGTGTATCGGAGGGGTTAGGGGGATAAGTAGAACACAAATGTCCATCCTGTATGGCAGGGTTCCCCAACTGGTGGGCCGCGGGTCGAATTTGGCTCAAGGGTGATTTTATTTGGCCCCCAAGTTTTCTGAGCAAAAATAAATAAATAATAATTGCAAAAAATGTTTCATTGGTGGACATAAAAGACTGTAAAAACACCAGGAAATCAGCTCCAAGTTACTTTAATTTTGGAAATCTGTTCCAAAGTATTCCCACGCATAAA